GCTTCAGGCCTGGCAGGCTCCAGCAGTGACTCAGGAGTCCGCCTCTCCTTCGGCTCTCATTCCGGCTTCCCTTGCTTGGCCTCTGTCTCAAGTGGGCTCTGTCCTCCCCGGCGGGAGCGGGTGGCCCAGAAAGCTCCCGCTCATCTCTCTCAGGGGTAGGCTTGAGTTTAAACCGGAAGTGTAAACTCTGCATGCCTGGGCCACCTCTGCTGCCCAGTGTGAGTCTATGACTGCACCCAACTGTCCTGCACCCCCCGGGACTGAGGGGGCCGCTTCCTGGGAGAAGGGAGCAGCGGGGCAGGGAGAAGCAGTCCTGCAGGGCTCAGCCACGATCCCCTTCCAGGCAGGGGAAGGCTTTCCCCACGCCGTGCACACAGCAGGTCTGGGATGTGGCAGAGACGCCGCAGCTGGAGGTGAAGGGTGCGCTCGGCCCCGGGGCCTGGGAGCTGGAGCCCAGCACCGTGCCTTCCGTCCACTGCCATGCAGTTTGTCCTCTCTGCCTTCTCTGTCTTCTAAGGGCCGGGGATGTAGCTCAGTGGCATAAGCGCCTGCCTGGCAAGCACAAAGTCCTGAGTTCAATTCCCGGTACCAAACAAAACAAAACAAAACAACCCCTTCTCTGTCACCTGGGCACCTCGGCTGTCTCAAGGACTCCCGACTAGGTTCAGTGGGCAGTGTGGCACGTTGCTGCCCCCAAGTTCCTCCCTCCTGCCGCATGATGTGGATGTGCCCATGGGGCACACGCCACCAGCCCCAGCCCCTGCGGCTCTGCAGACCAGGCCATCCTTGGCTGCCCCAGTGGCAAGCAAGGACAACCAGAGCAGGGACCGATGTCCAAACAGTGTAAGACGCAACCCCTAGAGGCAAGGGCATTTTAGGGGCCCTGCTCAGCTGTTCTGGGCACTTCAGTGACATTTGCTGCACTGCAGAAGCGGGTGTCTGCCAAGCTCCAGGAGCCCACACGTGTCTCCAAAGATAATCCCTTTCACTCTCCACGGCCTGCATGGGACAGGAGGGAGGGCCAAGTTAGCAGGGCCCGACACGGACCTGCCAGTGGCCCAGCCCCAGCTCTGTGACTACAAAGCCTGTGATTTTGAAGCCAGGCGGGGTGGCACACTCCTGTAATCCCAGCACGTGAGAGGCTGAGGCAGGAGGATCGTTGTGAGTTCAAGACCAGCCTGGGCTACAAAGTGAGCTCAAGACCAGCCTGAACTACAGAGTGAGACCCTATCTCAAAAAGACAAAAAACAAAACAGAACAAAAGCCTGTGATTTGGGAACAATCTGTGGTTTACAGATTCCATGACTCAGTCTTCCAAGTGGACCGTGCACGGGAGAATCCGTTCTAGAAAAAGCCACGTGGTGTGGTCCCATTTATGTAAAGTCGAGGGGCGTCTGTCACTGTGACACTGAGCTCCCCTGAATCTCCCCCATCTGTGCAGGAGAGCTGCTCGGGGAGATTCGCTCCAGAATGAAGTTGGGTCTACCACAGGATGGGAGCCAGGGTTGGCGGGGGACGTCACAAAAGAGGGGACCCGGAGTCCCCAGCGCCTCTGTGTCTTGTACTCATCTTTACACTGTTGGGCATATTTTCAGTCTGTCCTTTAAACGTCATAATACGTGCCATTTTCAGGGCCTGTGTAATACCGTCTAGTTTCTAGAGGACAACATATGTGGGTAACCTCGGGGAGAAAGTGCCCAAAGGGTGCGCTCCAGGCTAATGACTGCAGTCACCCCGCAGGAGTGAGGGAGTGAGAGATTCCAGAGGTGAGAGACAGGCTTTCTTCTGTTCTGGGAGAACAGATGCTATCTGTGCAATTCAGCCTTCATTTCTTTAAAATGCAGAGCATCCGCAGGACCCCTGAAGGGCTTGGGCTGAGATCCATTCGCAGAGATGGAACGACCGGTGGCTGTGCTGTTGCACCATGGGGTCGGCCGAGTCCCTGGAAGGGCAGGAGTCACTGTCGCCCCGTGTGAAGACGCCCATCCCCGGCCTCCATGGCCCCTGCTGGGGAGACCTGCGCTCTAAAATCCGTCACCTGCTCGCTCCAACCTTCTCCGTCCTCCCCGCCTCCAGAGCTCTTGGGACAGGCGGCTGCAGGTGGCGGCGTGAGGCATTCGCTGGTGCCTGTCAGCCCCAGGTTGGAATTTTCCAGTTGGAGGAGGGGAGTCCTGCCTGGGAAGTGTTTAGGGAACCACCCCCGGAGGTGGCTCCTCCTCCCAGTCTTCAGTGAGGAGGCAGAGGCAGGGGCATTTCCAGAAACCCCAGCGAATGACTCCAGAGTGCAGGCTGTCCGCTTCAGGGGCCCCATGGCCCCAGTCCCCAGCCCAGAGCCAGATGGGTGGGTGGGTAATCCTGTGCCTATAGCCCCCGTCAGGAGCAGCAACCCTAAGGCCAGCTGCAACTCTCTTCCCTGGGTTGGGGATAGGCTCCCACACACCAGGACAGGCCGTTCATTCTGAATGCCAGCGTCTTTGCCATTTGTCTTTTTTTTTTTTTTTTGAGACTGGGCCTTGCTATGTAATCCAGTCAGGCCTTGAACTCACTATGTACCCCAGGTTGGCCTCAAACTCACAGCAATCCTCCTGCCTCAGCTTCCTGAATGCTGAATGGCAGGCATGTACCACTAAGCCTGGCCGTTTGCCCTGGTTTGGAGTAACAGCACAGCAAGGAAGAAATGCATGTCAGGTCGAGGGGGAAGTGCCCCCAAAGAAACGAGCGCACAATAGGTGCCATGAGCCCCCAAAGAATAAAAGAGAACAAAGAGAAAGCCCAGGAAAGCGAAGCCGGGCACCTGGTTCTCCTTCTGAGCCTCAGTCTCCTCTGTCAGTCGAGAGTGAGAAAAGAGGCCCTCCTGCGTCTTGGCTGACTTAGACCTGCGTCCTAGAGTGTTGCTGGGGACCCATCAGAGGGTGAGTTGGGTCCCAGGAGAAGCAGCACTCCCGCCACCACCTTGTGCTTGGGAGGTCTCTCCTGCGGCTCTGCGAAGGCTGTGCCGTGCGCAGCCCGACTCCCAGACAGCACTCTTCAGACACGAGGCTCAGGGCGCAGCAAGGTCGCCGCTCCTGGAGGCCTCTGCCACCGGGAAGCCTCACGCCGTTCTGCCCAGTGCCCGCCTGGGCCACCCGGCAGCCTCTGCCAGGACAGAGCCCCATTCGAGGCTGCAGCGGGAGACCGGCCCGAGCCCCACCTCTGCTGCTGTCTGCTGTGCCCCGCCGGGAAGCCCCCGTCCTCTCTGAGGTCCTTTTCCTGCTCTAACTCGCAGGCCTGGGGCCAGGGAGGGGGAAGGAAGCGCGTGGCCCTCCCTCCTGCTCCCGCACCCTGGAGTTTAGTCTTCCCCACAGCACAGCTGTGTGGAGCAGGACTCAGGGAGGCACCCTGCGGCGTTGCATCCAGCCGTGGGCCTCGGGCTGCTGGTGATACCGTGCCTCTCCCAGGCCTCGCTGACGGTGGTCAGGCACAGAGAATGATCCCCGAAGGCCCAGAGGTGGGTTTGAGGTTGCGGAGTTACAGATGGGAAACAGAGCAGACGGATTAGGCAGCCTGAGAGAAGAGAGCCGGCTGTGGAAGAGCGGGGCTCCGGGTGGGGGCGGCTGAGAGCTGGCTGCTCTAGCGTCACTCGAACCCCGGCTCACCCCCCCCCGCCCCCACTCCTCCTCCATCTTCCAGTGTCCCGGCCTCGTTCTCTCTCTCTCTCTCTGTTCTGCTTTATTTTTTTGTGTTTTTTTTGGTCTTTTTGAAACAGGGTCTTGATGCAGTTCAGGCTGGCGTTGAGCTCACTTTGTCACCCAGGCTGGTCTCAAACTTGCAATGATCCTCTTGCCTCAGCCTCCCAAGTGCTGGGATTACAGGCATGTGCCACCATGCCTGGATTTTCTGCTTTATTTGTATTCTGATCCTATGGCCATGCAAAATTAAATACTGGAGCCAGACATGGTGGTGGACGCCTGTAATTCTCAGCACTCTGGGAGGCTGGGGTAGGACGATGGAAGGCATGGTGACTTGGCAAGCTCCTGTCTTCAAATAATGTTTTTTAGTTTTGTGGGTTTTTTTTATGGTTTTGTGAGATACGGTCTCGCTATGTAATTCAGGATGACCTTGAACTCACTACGTAGCCCAGGAACTTGCAGCAATCCTCCTGCCTCAGCTTCCTTAGTACTGAGATTACAGGTGTGTGTCACCATGCCTGGCTCTTAAAGTTTTTCTTTTTTAAAGGGCTGGGATGTAGCTCAGTGAGAAGGCCCTGGGTTCAACCCCCAGCACTCTCTGCCCTTAGAAGTAAAACCCATGAGGGTAGGTGCCTTGCACACCTTATCACCATGTGCTGCTGGTCCACAGGCATCCCTGGCTACAGGAAGGTGGGTGCCAGGGAGTATTGCAGGGAGTCCCAAGAGGGGGAAGAGACACCATAGCTAGACCAGAAACTGCCAGGCCCCAGCCCGACTCCCTTTGGACCAAGACTGGCACGAGTGACAATCACTGTGGTGTGACATGCAGCCACTGTGTGCTGCAAGCCCTCCTGGCCCTGTGACATCGCTGTCCTGATCTCAGTTTAGGGTAGCACCGTGTAGACTCCCAGGAGGCAAATGATGCGCCAAGGTCTTAAGTGGCAGAGCTCGTCTGGGAATTGGCCTTGCTCCAGGCTTGAGCTCCAGGAGCAGGGGGGCTCCTATGTTTCTGTGCCTCCCTTGGAAAGCAGTTGTCATCACTGCAATCCCCGGGCGGTGCCTGCATTTTAGCAACAGATTTCCAGGTTTCCAGCACGGGCTGGAAAGGGCTGCCTCGCTGCTAAGCCCGGCCCTCTCCCAGGCTCCGTGGCTTGTGCAGCTCTGCATCACGAGCGCCGCGGGGTGGCAGCGCCTGGTGATGCAGTTGCCATGGCGACGACCGCCTCAGCGGTGATTGGTCCAGCGCGGTTGTGCTCCATCACTCCTCGGGAGCTGGGAGGTGGAGAGGCTCCTGAGCTCCCGCCCCTCCTCCGGATGCTGCCAGAGCAAACCCCGCGCAGACTATCCCCAGCCCTCCCCTTCTCCTGCCTGTGCCCTGACACCCCGGATGTGCGGGAGGGAACATCCCGAGGAGGTCCCAGGTAGCAGCAAGGCGTCCCCCCACCCACCCAACCTGGCGACCATGGTGACTCAATGTCTTCTCAGGCTCCTGGGCACAGTGCAGGGACCAGCGTGCTGAGGACCCCTCCGGAGCCCGCTGCTGCCACCCTCCCTCCCTCTGCTCCCGCCCCAGCCCCTCTGGATGAGCCTGCCACCCCCGGGAATATGACTCGCCCTTCGATTTAATTTTATTCCCTTCTGCATCTCTCTTGGGCATCCTGCTCCTCCTCTTAACCACGTTGAGCCTCCCCAGCCAGAGAGGACGAGAGCAGGGGAGACAGGACTCAGACAGGATGGCTTGCCGAAGACGCTATTTGTGAGTATACGTGACAGGGCTGTGCCTGAAGCCTGAGGCTGGGGCCAGCTGAGCTGGCAGCCGCAGTGAGGGGCGTAGGGGAGGGAGGGCAGGGGGCTTGCGGAGGGAGCTGGTGCAGAGCAAGGGTGCCTCTATCTGTCTCCTGTGGCGGAGATGTTTGTTGGTGGTAACGCTGAGAGAAAGGCTATTAGTCAGCAAGTCTTCGTCCGGTTGTGAGATTCGCTGGCTTGGTGGACAGGTGTCCCCGCTCCCAAGTCCATATGCAGGGTCCTCAGACCCACTGCTGCGTTTGGCTTCCGACACAGCCCACAGTGTGCCCATTTGGGAAAAGCCTTTGGAAGCCAGCACACCCATGACCACACTGCAGCCAGGCCGGTCGGAAGGTGGCGGCTGGGCTGAGGCCACACGGAGGTGCCGCGTCCTCCACGGCCCGTCTTCCTGAGCAGGGTGGCGTCCGTGTCCAGCCGTGGTGCCCAGGTGACCTGTGGGCAGGGCTGAAGCTGTCGGCTAGGCCTAACGCCAGGGGCAGAAGCCGGTGAAGCCTCCGGGAGGCAGTGACATCACAAGGCCTGAGTATTTATGGAAACCAGAGCCCATGCTTGGTTAAGCCAGGCTTCCCAGGGGGCAGTGGGGTACAAATGCCAGCGTTCTGGCGGCTCTCTGGGCTCTGCACTGTGCAACTCAAGGGTGAGGAACCTTCACCCTCCTCCAGGACCCTAGGCCTTCTGGGTTAAGGTCCAGCTTTGGGTCTTCCCTTGCCTGGGCACTTACCCAGTGCAGGGTGGTGCGCTGTTGGGGGCTGTTCGGTGACTTCAGATTTTATGAGGTTGGACAGCAGCGCCGGATCCTCTTGGTTTGGGCGAGGCGAGGGAGGCTGGAGCCGTCTGAGGGGTCCCACACTGCAGTCCCCTACCAGGGCAAGCAGCCTCCTCCCTCCGTGGAGGGCGGTCCTCATGCTAATGGGGCAGGGAGAATGTAAACACAGCCTTGCTGCGGCTGCCTCTCTGCTCAGCGTCTCAGCTGGGCCCTCCACCCCCAGGCCCCAGGCAGCGGCGGAAGGCCATGGCGAGGCCTCTGTGTCTCAGGGTGGACTTGATGCCCACTTGCCTTTCTCGTGGGAAAACCCACAGGTTGGTGTGTTGGTGTGAGCAGAACGTGCTGGAGTTCTTGCTCCCCGTGGTGAGGCCCTGGCTGTATTTTTAGAAACGTAGTAAGTCCTTCCCAGGCTTGCCCTCACCAGCTCCGGGTAGCACTGGTCCTCTGGAGGAGCTGTGTGTCACCTGCCACACCTCTGCCGGGGCCCATCAAGGGAGCTTGATGTCAGAGACATCCTCAGCTTCCAGGAGCTGCCAAACCCTGGGGGAGCCAAGATGTCACCAGGATGGCATGTGACAGTCTCCATGGAGGGTAACAGTCCCCACTCCGTTTTGGCTCTCACAGAGATGGGGAAACTGAGGCTTGGCCACTCTGCCCTGGAACCTTGGAGTGTGCTGGCTGAGGCAGGCGTGTGGACTTTAGGCGGGGTCTGTCTGCGCTGGAATCACTTACGAACATTGCAAAGTACCCAACCTGGGCGCCGCTGCTGGAGACACGGGTCTGCGGGGCTGGGGTGGGAGGCGGGCATCAGGGTCCCCTGGGTCCCCCAGGACGACGGTAATGGATGTCTGACTGCGGTTGGTGTTCTGTGGAGGCAGCTGCTCGCTGTGGCAGCACTGCAAGGCGATCCCAGGTCCAGCTTGCCAGAAACACACTTTCTAGATTCCAGAGCCCTTTCCCAGTGGGTCTGGCCCACTCTGTTTTGTTTTGTTTTGTTTTTGGTCATTTTGAGACCGGGTCTCGCTGTGCAGTTCAGGCTGGCCTTGAGCTCACTTTGTAGCCCAGGCTGCCCTCGAGCTTGTGGTGATCCTCCTGCCTCAGCCTCCCAAGTGACGAGATTATAGGCGTGCGCTACCATGTCCGGCTGATCCACTCTGCCAGAGGCCTGAGAACTTGCATTTGGATATATGGGGCCCGGGGGGTTATGTGGCCCCGTGGACTAAGCCCATCTCCCCTGCTGGCCTGGGAGAGGGCTGGGCCTGTTGGGGGTCATGCTTCCTGTCTCCCTTCCCTGAAGGTCTCTGCAGCCTTCTCCAGCCCTCAGGCTCTCCACCTGGGCACTGTGACATCCAGGCCACCTGCCTCTGCAACGCCGCCCTCAAAACTTTTGGCACCAAAATTCCAAACAGACTAGCAGGGGCGGGCCCTGCTGTCGCAAAAGGATGTGGGACCCGGAGAAGCCTTGCGGGGCTCACCCACGGGTACTTGACCCACCAGTCTATCCCTGGCCAGGACCACGGGCAGGGCACCTGCTGCGGGGCAGCTCCAGATGTTTAACTTTCCTGCCAGCTGCAGAATCGGCCATGGCAGCACCGTGGCCAACCGCAGACTCGCCCTGTTGGGCCTCAGAGCTTACCCTTTTCCCTTCCCTCTTCTCCCCTCCCTTCCCAGGAACTGAGCCTGGGCCGGGCAAGCTCTCTGCAACTGAGCTGCAGCCCCAGCCTTTTTTAATTTTTATTTTCAGACAAGGTCTCACTAAGTTACTCAGGCTGGCTTTGAACATTCCAACCGTCCTCTGCACTGCTGGAAAACGCAGTGTTACTGATCGCATTTTACCGACAAAGACACTGATGCTCAGAGAGAGGGAAGGAACTTGCCAAGGGTCACACAGCTCTGCCTGCTGCACGCTTGGTAGTAGTGTCCTTCCCGCGACACGCCACACCCTGACCTGGACGAGCTTGCTCCAGTGCCCCGTGAGTGGTGTGACCAGGTTCCTTTGGCTTGGAAGAGCGCTGTGGGGAGGCTCACTGCAGCCTTGCCTCCACCTTCCTGTGTGTTTTCCTCCCCTCTGCACTGTCATGGGTCTAGACTCTGTCACTGAGGGGTGCAGGGTCACAGCTGGGGACTCAGACGCTCGTGGGAGCGGCTCAGTGCAAGAGACGAAGGATGCTCGTGAAAGCGGGAAACTCACTCATCAAACGCAGAAACCGTGAGGCCCTGGGAGTCCGTTCCTCAATGCAGCTCGCTGACAAGCAAGGTCGCTGCTCTAGCGACAGCTTAATGAAGAGCGTCTTAGTGACACTGAGGTCGCCTTTGGTGACCATGGTGGTGACCACACTGGCATCCTGATCACTGCACAGCAGCGAGCTTGGAGGGTTCTCTGTCCCTGGCTCCTCGGGAGCTAGGGCTCAGATGCAGGAAGCGGGGGCCAGAGAGGGCGCTGTCTTACCGCCCCCAAGAGGGCAGCTCCCCCACACAACCATGTATTTATTCATGACCTGGACCTGCCCTGGCCCCGCCTCCCTCCTGCAGGCTGGGCTCTGACCACCCAGCGCGAAGTTGCAGACCCGCCCGGCCTTTCCCACTTGTGCGCGGCCCTACCCTGCTGCTGTGGGTTTGCCTGTCCCGGGGCAGAGGTGCTGGTCCCTCGTCACCCTAGGAATCGCCAGTCTGTAGCGAGTACTCAGGAAATCTGTGTCAAATGAGTGGATTACAGGTGGGGTCCCGGGCACTGCCTCAAACGGGGTACACAGCCAGGTAAAAAATAGATTCTTGTGGGAGCCGGCAGGCTGGTGGGGGAGACAGATGTTATAGCATCAGCACAAAGTGCCCAGGGCTGGACCAAAGATGGCCCGGAAGCAGAGAGAGGTCACTGTCCTCACCTGAATTCTGGGGACAGGGACTGAGAAGGTGCCAGTGGTCAAGGGGGGGATGCTCTAGCTGACATTAGGCCTCCTGGCTGAGGGTTTTGAAGCATTAGCTGCTTTGACTTTCCCAGTGAGCCCGGCGGGCGTCACTCTTCCATTTCCCAATGTAAAAACATGCGGCCTGCCGAGTCCTGGAGCGAGGAGCCCCAGGCAGCACCTAACAGGGGTAGAGCCGGCTGGACCTGACGGCGCAGCCTGGAGCCCACGGTGCCTCTGTGAGTCTGCAGGCCTCGGGGCAAGTCCTCACCCTGCTCAGTGTGAGCTGTGTGTAAGAGATGGGGCAGGGGCAGGACCCAGCCAGGGCAGGCCTCGTGGGGGTCTGAGGAAGGGGGTCGGGGGCTGGGGCCCGGGGGCTGAGGTGGCATCCTGGCTGCAGGGGAGGTCGGGCAAGGGCCCAGCAAGGAGGCCCAGGAGGGCCTGCAGCTGCCCGGCCCCTGACCAGGGACTCCACCTCCCGGACACAGGAGCTTGCAGCCTCAGGCCAGGCGGGCGGAGCGGCTCAGGGCATCATTCCCCGCGGTGCACTGTGGCCACTGCCTAACAGGGGCCCCTAAGGACAGTGGGGGTCCCCGTCTCCTCTGTGGGCTCAGCGGCCTCAGCCTCCCTTCTGACCCCACCCAAAGCTGTAACAAGGGGCGGGGAAACTGAGGCGCTGGCTTCCCGGTCAAGCACATTCCCCCACTACCGCCAATCACACGATGCTGTCGAGTGTGTTGGGCGTTTTCTGGGCACGCTGACTCATCTCTGCCCTGTTCAGCCCCAGAAGGTCACTGGGCAGCGCCTACGTGTAACTCAGAGAGGTTGAGACGCACAGGAAGGTGGCACAGCGTGTGTTCAGCCAATAACATTGACATCTGTGATAGGCCCTGCTCTGGGCTCAGTGCTGGGTGCTAAGAGCAAGTGAGTAGGTGCCTCTGTCCTGGAGTCCTGCAGGGATCAGAGCTCAGAGAAAGAGAGGACAGAGAGCCTGGTGAGAGTGGGTGTAGAGGGACTGGCATGGCCACTCCAGAGGGCTTCCCGGAGGAGGTGACATTTGGGCTGAGCTCAACAGGAAGACAAACTGGCTATAAGTTGGGAGGCTCCCGGGCTCTGGGAAAGGCAGGTGCCAGGGGCCCGGGAGGGCAGGGTTAGGCAGGAGCAGAATCGGGTGCAGCTGAGGTGGGAGCCAGGAGGTGCAAGGTTAAAAGCAAGAAGAGGAGAGTGAGGGCCCAAGAGCTGGGGTCTCCCTGGCCCCCCCCTTGAGGAGCCTGCATACAC